TTTTTCATTTGCAAAATTACCTATTTTGCAACTCTTTGGTAAGAAGACATCTCTCCCTTGTGTGACACTTTAGGACACTTTGGCTTTGCAATAGGTGTTGTCCTTTACAGGAAGGGTTTCTACTGTATATTGTTGAATTTCAATTTAGGATCAAATCATATTTAAGATCAAGATCTTTTCAAGTACAGTAGAATCTCTCTGCAATAGATAGCACCTAGTTACAAAGCCAGTATTCTTTAAGGAGAGGTGTTCTCTTACTGGTTAGTTGGTAAATAGTAAAAAATAGATCAATTTTGACAATCTGTTCTTTGTATAGAGGTGTCCTCTAGTGAGAATATCTTATCATGGAGGCTGTTCTACTGTTATGTAATAGGAAATAACCTATACCAAGTCAGAATGATCTAACATCAATGATGTAAAGTCAGATACACAACAAAGTTCAAACATGTATTTATAGTTAATAATAATACAAGATGATAAGACACAATTTGGATTATAGATTTTAAACACAAGGTAATAAGACCAAATCCAAATAAATAGTGTGTGACGTTTCAGCGTTGTTACCATCTTCAGACAAAAGTACTGAATAAAAGTAACTATTTAAACCATGCTGTGGTAAAATTTTTCATTCAGTACTTTTGTCTGAAGATGGTAACAACGCTGAAACGTCACACACTATATATTTATTTGGATTTGGTCTTATTACCTTGTGTTTAATTATACAAGAAAATAAAGACCTAATCCAAATAATTTATTAGTATGTGACATTTAGGCAACAGCATTGTCACCATCATCAGACAAAATGATGATGGTAACAATGCTGTTGCCGAAACATCACACACTAATAAATTATTTGGATTAGATCTTATTTTCTTGTATTATAATCTATAATCCAAATTGTGCCTTTATCATAGTTAATAACAATAAACTATAAAAATGTTTCCTTCTTTATAAACCTACAAGAGACAGCAGAGAAAAAAAAAGTGCCAACCCTTCTTCTTCTTCTTCCTTAACTCCACTCAATCATATTAGGGTCTGGGTGAAGTAGAATGCGTCTGCCATGTCATTAACACTGGGAGCACTACTCAGTGGCAGGCCGACTTGGCTCCAAAAGAAATGGCCGCCTCTGACATGAGGAACAGACGCCATGTGTAGCTGCTCCTAACATGGAGTACAAACGCTGCTCATCCTGTATCCCTGGATTAGGAGCCCTTACAGGGTACTATCACCCGGGCCAGCTGAACCCAGATTTTTAGTGAGCTTGTTACTGCTCCCCCTCCTCCTTTTTCATCCAGGCTTGGGACTGGCAAAGGTGGAGTTAGTGCCAACTCTGAAGTCAAACAGATGTAGAGAATCTGGATATTTCAACATTGATACAAAGCTGCTTGAGATATGGAAGAGTTCCACCTGATGGAAATAGGAAACTTTATTTATACAGACTCTCAGGATCCCATTATAAACAAACTTTTCACACAGTCTCTCAAACCACAGAATGATGCTGCAGTAAACATCATAAGTCTCCAGCTCATAGGAAGAATAACTTCTTAGGTCCATTGAAGTCTATAAAAATGAAATGTGCTACAATTAACCGAATGGAAGAAAGAGGAAATATAAATGATATTTATAGATATGCTTTTAATTATATCTAATTAAAAAAAAAAGTGGGTTTTTCCACTTTTAATTCTAAAAATAATATTCTGTGTTTCTTAGAAAACTAACTTCTTCTTATCTGCTATCTTGTTTACACACTTGATAACAGTAACTATTTAAACCATGCTATGGTAAAAATTTTTCATTCCCTTACCATAAAGGCCAATTAGCCCGGAATTCAAGAAGATAAGATAAAATTTTCATTCAATACTTTTGTCTGAAGATGGTAACAACACTGTTACTGAAACATCACACACTATTTATATATTTGGATTTGGTGTTATTACCTTGTGTTTATCATAAGTCTCCATATTTCCATGAAGGGTAAAAAGAGCTGCTGTCATTGGTTGGCTATCCAGGGGGCACCACATGGAGGTAACACAGTAAACATAAAAGTCCCCAAATACAGATTGTAATTTAATAAAATCAATAAAACATCCAGGGCTAAGTTTCTTGTTCAATTTTTGATAAGGCACAATTTGGATTATAGATTATAAACACAAGGGAATAAGACCAAATCCAAATAAACACACTATTTATTATAGACAAACTAGACTTTTATAATATGATGCACTAGCACGCCATCTGTTATCAAAATTCGAAACTATTTTAAAGGCGTAAGATTCTTTTTGAAATTAAACAATTTCTACTGCCCTTACTGCAATGGAAAAATTAATGGGAGGACCTGGTTCATCAGTGGTGAACCCTCCCAGCGGTTTCGCCAGTTTAATCTACCATACCGCTGTTATATTGCATTTTTAAATAAAATAAAATGAAGTTACAAAAATGCAATATAACAGCGGTATGGTAGATTAAACTGGCGAAACCGCTGTGAGGGTTCACTACTGATGAGCCAGGCCCTCCCTTTAATTTTTCCATTGCAGTAAGGGCAGTAGAAATTGTTTAATTTCAACAAGAATCTTACGCCTTTAAATAGTTTGGAATTTTGAAACTAGACTTTAAAATAGACACACTATTTATTTATTTGGATTTGGCCTCATTCCCTTGTGTTTGAATATTTTTTATTTCTCTAGCTATCACTTTAACATGTATTTCAACAGAAGCAACAAAGAGTATAACTTCTAGCTAACTATACAAGGATGAAGGTCAACAGCTCGAAATCCATACTCAGTTAGCTTTCCTTGATTAATCAAGAATGGCTAATTAACCAAATCTGGAATAATTAGAAATCAACGAGAATTAGTTGATATTTATTACAATAGATGGCGCAAGCCATCAGAAACTTTCAATTGCATGATAAGGAGATGCCTTATTTTTCTTTCTTAATTTTAATTCTGCAAGAAAAGGTAAAGATAGCATTGTGTAAGGTAGAGTAGAGATCGGACAAAACTCAGTATACTAGGTATAGTTACACTCCTAGTTGCTCTTCTTCAAGTTCATGTGTTTAGCCCAAAATCTAGAGAAATAAAATTGTACAAGAACTTAGCCCTGGATGTTTTAGTTATTTTTATTCAATTATAAATCAGGGGAAGAACATATACACCAATACCTCGCTTTGCGTCGTTTTGCATTTTTTTTTAAGTTGCGTCTCTGCTTAATTTTTACTGTGCGTTGTTAGATTTTCGAAGTTGCATTGTTTTGGATTCGAGTCTTTTAATTAAAAAAAAAATTTTTTTTTTCTAAAATATGGCAACACCTTTGTTTTTGATTGCGCCTTCACATATTTTCACTTTGCGTCGTTTCAATTTGCGTCGTGTTTTTTTGGAATGTAACCCCGACGCAAAGCGAGGTATGGATGTATTTCACAGATTGTCAAAGAAATTTTATCAGTTTCCTTTGGAACATATAGAAATTACCAACTCTGAGACCCATCTTTGTTAATAACTAAAAATAGTACCTATATTGTTAACTCTTCTTCTTCTTCTTTCTTATCTCAAAGCCATGATAATCATGGTGGGTAGTTAGCAACTGCTTTTACTGTAAGCGCACCACATGTCTACACATGTGAGAAGCAGTTCGACTTTGCACTTACAAATGTGCCAGAGCCCCGTTTGGTTACTTGCACTCATTGGTGGGGTTGGACTTTTGCAAGAATCGGGGGCCATTGGAACATTTCTTTTTTTTAACAGAAAAAAAGTGTCCAATGCGGGAATTGAACCCGGGTCGTAGTGGTCGAAAACCAAACGGTTTAACCAGCCTTCCACCGACCCCCATATGGTTAACTAAATCAGAAAAACCTTTCTATTTAATGTAAGTTAATTACTTTCATTTCTCTATGGAGAGACCTTATTCATTAAGATTCTATATTTACACTACAATAAATGTGTATGTAAATTATAAAAAAAATGCAACTATTTATTCTTTGTTATCAATTATCTCTTATCTAAATTGGGTGTGTGTGATTTAGCTTTTTATCTTTTAAAGATAATAATGGAAAGAAAGCTTTGTAGTTTATAATTAGAATACCCTCATTAACCAATCTTCTATACCTAAATTTAATTTACAGTCATGCCTGTCACTTACTTTCCTGACATAGATTTCATTTGTTTGTTCATCTAATTGTACCATATTTGCAGATCTAGTTTTAAAAATACCAAAAAAAAAAAAAACTCAGCTTAATTGAAATGCGACGTTGTCTCTTGGGACTCCCTGGTTGAAATGGGAATGCCCCCAAGAAAGGTAGAGCTTACTATTCTTCTTCTTCTTCTTTCTTATCTCCACTCAATCATATTACGGTATCAAGATGGGTGTCTGTTTGACAACCATCATGACTGGGTGAAGTAGAATGTGTCTGCCTTTGTCATTAAGATTGGGAGCACTACTCAGTGGCAGGCCAACTTAGCTCCAAAAGATATGGCCGCTAGCTTAGTATTCTGGTACATACTATTAATATATTTGCATGAGAACTTATACCGCACACCTATATGTTTTTTTTTTTTGCTTAACCCTAGTACACGTGGTACAGATCATGATAATCATAGTGGGTAGAAGTAGGCGACTGCTTTTACTGTAAGTGCACCACATGTCTACACATGTGAAAAGCAGTTCGACTTTGCACTTACAAATGTGCCAGAGCCCCGTTTGGTTACTTGCATTCGCTGGTGGAGTTGGACTTTTGCAAGAATAGGGGGCCATTGGAGCATTTTTTTTTTATCAGAAAAAAAGTGCCCAATGCAGGAATCGAACCCGGGTCATATCGGTTGAAAACCAATGGTTTAGACCATTCTTCTACTGACCTATATGTAAATTATATTAACATATTTACATATAATACACAATTTGTATTATAGATTATAAACACAAGGTAATAAGAACAAATCTAAATAAATAAATAGTGTGTTCGGTAACAGCGTTATTACCATCTTCAGACAAAAGTACTGAATGAAAAATGGAGATGCCGGTGTCAAACCTGGGACCTTTCACATGCAAAGTGGATGTTCTACCACTGAGCTACATCCCCAGCTACATCCTCAGTACTTTTGTCTGAAGATGGTAACAACGCTGTTATCCAAATGTCACACACTATTTATTAATTTGCTTGGTCTTATTACTATGTGTTTATTTACATATAATTCATATATAGGTGTGGAGTATAAGCTCTTGTTATAATAGAACTCATTTGAGGGCATTCATTTCTTATTTCTTATAAGAGAGAGTTTACTGTTGTGTTCTAAAAGATCCTCCAAGGTGAAAGATATATAATTGCCAGGCTTGAGAAAGACCAACAACTGTGGTAATAAGGAAAGCTAGTTGAGGAAAAATGCTACGTGAGAGGAAGAAAATGTTTAAAACTTACTCTCCCTCTATCTCTCCATATTAAACTGGAGTGTACTCTGAGGAGTGAAAACCTTGTCTGGAGGAGGACTCTCTCAAGGTGGGGAAGCCTTCCTTGCTGAAGACATTTGTACACAACTATATATATATTCCCCTACACTTTATATGCCCTTTTACTCTTTTATTTTTCCTCCTTTGTAAAATTTGATTAAAAGAATCAATAAAATTGTTTAAATTGTCAAAATATTAAACTGGAGTTGGGTGTCAAATAAAAATTTCTGAGCTGAATGATATTCTCCCTGCTATGTGAGCAGCATAATACACTGAACAGTAAAGTTCTATGGCTCAGGAAACCTCCTTTCTTGAGTTTTGGGAAGCAATGGCTGTCACCACCATACAAGGTAATAGTTATACAATAGAACCTCCCTTTAGCAGACACTCCCGCTAGCAGACACCTCTCTACAAAAGACAGTTTTCATTTACAAAATTACCATTTTTACTATTTAGTAACTCTCCGGTAAGAGGACACCTCTCCCTAAAGGACACTTTGGCTCTGTAATTAGGTGTTGTCCTTTATAGTAGTACTCTACTGTAGTAGTAAAAAAGGAGGAGGGGGAGCAGTAACAAGCTCGCTAAAAAACCTGGGCTCAGCTGGCCATGCTGATAGTACCCTGTAAGGGCTCCAGGGATACAGGATGAGTCTGTACTCCATGTTAAGAGCGGCTGTACATGGCGTCTGTTCCTCATGTCAGAGGCGGTCATTTCTTTTGGAGCTAAGTTGGCCTGCCACTGAGTAGTGCTCCCAGTCTTAATGACAAAGGCATTCTACTTCACCCAGTCATGATAGTTGCCTCTCTACAAGCTTGATACCCTGATATGATGGAGTGGAGATAAGAAAGAAAGTAATAGTTTAAAAGTTGGACGCACAGTTAAATGGCCTCGCCTTGTTCTCTTGTTGATAACATTTCTGCTTCTTGGTCACTGCGCATGACTTGTCTAAGACAGTGGTGCCGCTAGCTAACTTAGCTATATCTTAGCTATCTAACCTCTACAGTAATAATGGTTGGCACTTCTCTCCATATATAATCACAACTTGATCCTCCTACCCACATATTCTCATGCCCAGCAATGGCCGCAGCCTTGCAGAAAATTGACTTAGACCCAGAGCAGCAGCTTTACACACCCAAGATAGAGGACATTGCGACTGCTGTGATAGAGATGTATGGAGACATCTGAGGCTCTTCATTGGACACAACAACAACAGAAAATTGACATAGACCCAGAGCAGCAGCTTTACCCACCCAAGATAGTGGATATTGCTGCTGCTGTGATAGAGATATATGGAGACATCTGAGACTCTTCTTTGTACACAACAACAACAACAACAACTTGATCCTCGAGTACTTGATAATAAGTCAACTTCTCCATTTTACTTGGAATATTGCTACAAGGTAATAAGACAAAATCCATTATAATCTGTAATTGGGTTTGGTCTTATTACCATGTAAGTTCTAACCTATAATACAAATTGTGCACCTTATCATTTTGGAATATTGCTATAAAATGTAATGTTTCAATTACCAGAAGTACCAATGAAGGAAAATAATAAATAAAATTGTGTAAATATACATTCGTATACACAGACTGATGGATTAACAATTATATCATACTATGGTAGAACCTCCATGTAAAGAAAACCTAAGTGCAGAGCTAAAGTGTCCTTTAGGGAGAGGTTTCCTCTTAACAGAATGTTGCTAAATAGTAAAAATGGTAATTTTGTAAATGAAAACTGTCCTTTATAGAGAGGTGTCCTCTTACTCGAGAGTTACTAAATAGTAAAAATGGTAATTTTGCAAATGAAAACTGTCCTTTATAGAGAGGTGTCTGCTAAAAGGAGGTTCTAATGTATATAAATATTTTTTGGGAGGATTTCTGCACAATTCCAACAAGTCCCAGGTAGTGAATGGATTGTATATAGAACCATCATAGCTCTAATATTACTTTTTTTGGGGAAAGCATGAATGTGGATGGGAGTACAGAGAACTTTTGTGGCAATAAGTTCATTGAGGCTGTGTTAAAAAAACTGCTAATGGGAAAGAATGATCATCTCTCAGCAGCCATGGGAGTTGTCCAGTGTGGGATCATTAGCTTTTCCCAGGGTAGTTTTTGTTGACTGGACCTTGTTTTACTTAGTAGTTGTTAACAACCATACTGGAGAGGGGGACTGGAGTCTCACTTCTAAGAATTAAACATCTTGATAAGGCACAATTTGGATTATAAACACAAGGTAATAAGACCAAATTCAACTAAATAAATAGTGTGTGTGATGTTTCCGTTTATTTTGTCTGAAGATGGTAACAATGCTGTTACCGAAACATCGCACACTATTAAATTATTTGGTTTTATTACCTTGTATTTATGGTTTTAATTTATTAATGCCATCCTGAAGCAATAACATATAATATTTATGATAACAAAAAAAAAAAGGTAAATGATAAAGCACAATTTGGATTATAGATTATAATACAAGAAAATAAGACCTAATCCAAATAATTTATTAGTGTGTGATATTTCGGCAACATCATTGTCACCATCATCAGACAAAAGAACAACAACAAAAAAAAATGTATTCATGTAATAAATGTTAAATGCATTTTTTTTTGTTCTTTTGTCTGATGATGGTGACAATGCTGTTGGCGAAACGTCACACACTAATAAATTATTTGGATTAGGTCTTATTTTCTTGTATTAACAAAAAGCTAATATAAAGTCTCCTCAGACACACTAATCCACACATTCTGTGGACTTTATCCCATATGCTACAAGTGGCACTTAATTAATTTAATAAAGCATGGAGGGTGTTTTAATTGTCCACAAGGCCTGTTGGCACCAACCCACACACTTGACCTTCACACTCTCTGTGTTTTATTGACACATTCTCTTCAAACCCTGATCTTTGGCAACAGTGGGGACTTTGGGGGAGTCTGGGGGAATTCAGACAAGGAAAATGGTAAGGTGCAATTTGGATTATAGATTAGAAATGCAAGCTAATAAGACCAAATCTAAATTAATAGATAGTGTGTGATGTCTTGGTAACAGTGTTGTTACCTAAATGTCACTTTTTATTTATTTGAATACAGTAGAACCTCTCTCCCTGTAAAGGACACCTAATTGTAGAGCCAAAGTGTCCTTTAGGGAGAGGTGTTCTCTTACCAGAGAGTTGCTAAATAGTAAAAATGGTAGTTTTTCAAATGAAAACTGTTCTTTGTAGAGAGGTGTCCTATAGTGCGAGTGTCCTCTCATGGAGTATATTCAACTGTATTACCTTTAGTCAAGGAAAATGTTTAGTAGTTTTGATATGACACAAAAGAACACGGCATAAACCAATCTACACTTGAAGCATATCAATTTCAGCTAATTTTAAAATAAATTGGATTTATTTCCTCATCTCCCCTTTAATAGGTTTAATTTTTGCTGAATGTTCTACAAATATAATGGAAAATACAGCTTTAATGCAGTACAATTTATAATATTTATTTTTTTCTATGATAAAGTATAATTTTGGATTATAGATTAGAAACATAAAGCTATATAAGACCAAATTGAAATTAATGAAATGTTTGATAAGGCACAATTTGGATTATAAATTATAAACACAAGGTAATAAGACCAAATCCAAATAAATAAATAGTGTGTGACATTTCGGTAACAGCGTTGTTACCATCTTCAGACAAAAGTACTGAATGGTTCTGAATGGTACTGAAGTTCAGTACTTTTGTCTGAAGATGGTAACAATGCTTGTTACCGAAACGTCACACACTATTTATTTATTTGGATTTGGTCTTGTTACCTCACATTTTTCCAATTTCAAAACCATTGTTGAGTTAGGATGTCCTACATTGATGGCATTAGACAAGTTGCCATATTTAGCAGGTGTGGTGGTGTTCAGTGTCTGGCTTCTATTTCACAAGTTAAGCACTCTCTCAACAAAATTTTTCTCTCTCTGTAGCCATAGAAAACCTTCCATTCTTATATAATTACCACTACTCCAGCTCTCTTTTGGTTTTGAAGCACACTGAACCTTTTGAAATACTATTCAACTGTATTACCTTTAGTCAAGGAAAATGTGTAGTTAGTTTTTATATGGCACAAAATAACACGACATAAACTAATCTATACTTAAAGCATATCAATTTCAGCTAATTTTAAAATAGATTGGATTCACTTCCTCATCTCCCCTTTAATAGGTTTAATTTTTGCTGAATGTTCTACAAATATAATGGAAAATACAGCTTTAATGCAGTACAATTTATAATATTTATTTTTTCTTTTAAATGGTATAATATGGATTAGTCAAAAACAGCCATTAGTACAAGTAAAATAGGAAATGAAAGCATTAAAGCATGAATATTTCTTTCACACTTCAATCAAACTTCTACTATCCTTACTGCGATGAAAAAATATTTGAAGGGCTTGGCTCATCAGTAGTGAACCCTCCCAGTGGTTTCGTCAATTTAATCTACCAGACTGCTTTTTAGAGCTCTAATACTGTATTGGTTCAAAATCACATTAATAGATACCGCTCAACAAGAACAACCTAGTTCATGATAATTGAAACAATGAATAATATGTGAAGGTTATTCATATATTAAACAAAATTTTAACGCGGGATTCAATCCCGGTTCA